AGAACTCCATTTCCAATCCTCACCTTTAGGCAACAATCCCTTGCTATTAATATCAATTTCAATTCCAGCTGGTCGGTGAGACAGAAACCAAGTCATCTCCCTTTAGTACTCATTCTTGTTTACATCCACCCCTTGCCCTTAGTGCTTCCTAGATCCGTGTGCTCACACAATTAATAGCCACTAATTAATGATAAAGTTTCTACATAACATTAGAAAAGATATTAACAAACTTAACATGACCAACTAGACAATGACAAACGGAAAAATGTCTTCTATGTGAGATTTATAGTTTTTATGCACTTCAGTGTTCACAACTTAATGCAGCAACCTGCTTACATCGAAATTTACCATTACCTTCTCTCATTTCAAATGATACTGCAATTGACCAGAGTTTCAAAAATTGTTCTTTCAGGATAAAATTAAATCCTTGTGGAAGAAATAAAACAACTCCACATGGATATATAGCACCATATTCTTCAGTCAATTTTAAAAGTTCCTGGATGAACAGTTAAGCAACTGATACTTGAGTAGAAAAGATTACAAAAAGGTAAATCAGCAACTAAACAATTTGGTGATCCTGAGCTCAAATATTAAAGGTTCTTAATTTAGAGAAAAAAGAATTGGTAGGAAGTTTTGATCTGGGAGGTTGAAGCTTAGCTGGTGCATTTTATAAATTCCTGATTTCTATCGGAATGATACAAAAGAGGAAGTATATGGAAGTCTGTCTTTATAAAATGGAAACAGTCTCCATCTTTAGATCTCCTACTGACATACAAAACCAAGAAGAAACAAGAGTTGGCTACTTGGCCCTTCAAGTCTGCTCCAACACTCAAACTCACAGCTGACCTGATTTTAACCTCAATCTCAACTCTACATTCCTGCATATCCTCGAATCTTTCATTCCGTTGGTAATTAAGAATCTATCTACATCTGCCTTAAAAATATTTAAAGGTTCTGAACCCACTGCCTTTTGAGGAAGGGAATTCCAAATGCAGTCCAACCTCTTGTTAGATTAATTCAAGTATCATTTTGGTAAATCTGGGTTGCACTCCATGGAACAATACATCTTTCTGAGGTGATGCCAAGTCTCATCAGGGCAACTAGGGATGAAGTGTGACTTTTAACCCCTTTGACTTTTGTATCTAGATGGATAGAGTACAATATTTTTTATGTTTTCTGTACTTGTTCATGAAAGGCTAATGACTTGCGTATGTGTATGCCAAGTCTTTTGGACCTCTACTGTTTCTGTTATTTCAAGTATACTGTTTATCTTTTCTGACTGTGTTTCTTCCACTGATTTTTTTTTATTCCTAAAGTGAAAAGCAGTTTGCCTTCCAATATCAAATATAGTAAGACCATATCTATATTCGTGGAGAGTCTTTAGAGCAGAATTTTGTCCTCCATTCTACAGCACTGCCCTTTGTAGAACCAAACTAAGTTAGAACTCCGAGTTTCCATCTCCGGGGGCTGTTCCAATGGGACGGGCTCCACGTGAAACATGCTGGGATTGGAGTTCTTGCAAATCATAAGTTGGGCTGTGGATAGGGCTTTAAATTGCAGTGGGATGGATTCAGTTGAATGGAAAATAACGGAAAAAGTTAAAGGAGGGGAAGACTCAGCTGAAGTTAAGTTTCCAGAACAAGAAATTGGACAGTCTGGAAAGGGTCAGGAATCTAACTTCAGGTACAGCAGAAAAGAGGACAACCATGAGAAGACGGCAGTTATTACAGGACCAAGTGTGTTGAGTAAGCTACCTAGTAGTATAAAAGATGATTGCAAGAGTATAAATATCTAAAAGGTAAGACAGAGGCAAGTGTGGACAGTGAACTGCTGGAAAATGAGGCTGAAGAAATCAAAATAGGGATGAAAGAAATGGTGGAGAAGCTGAATAGGTACCTTGTATAATGTTTCCCAGTGCAAGATACCAGCAACATACCAGAACTTCGAGAGAGTTAGGGGTGAGAGGTGAATGTAGTGGCCGTCACTAAGGAGAAGGTGCTGGGGAAGCTAAAAAGCCTGAAGGTGGATAAATCATCTGGACTAGATGGGCTACTCCCCAGAGTTCTGAAGAAGGTAACTGAGGAGATTGTAGAGGCATTGATGGTGATATTTCAGGAATCACTGGAGTCAGGGAGGGTGCCAGACAACTGGAAAATGGCTATTTAACACCCCTGTTTAAGAAGGGAGGAAGGCAGAAGAGAGGAAATTTATAGGCGAGTTAGCGTGACCTCAGTTGTTGGTAAAATTTTAGAGTCAATTGTTATGGATGAGACTGTGTGTATTACTTGGAACTGCATAGTAAAATAGGTTGGACTCAGCATACTGTTGTCAAGGGGAGGTCATGCCTGCTCAAATTTGAGAAACTAACAAGCAAGTTGACAAAGCAGAGCCAGTGGTCATGATCTATTTGCATTTCCAAAAGAACTTTGACAAGGTGCCATGCAGGAAATAAATAAGATATGAGCCCGTGGTGTTAGGGGCAAGGTACTGGCATAGATAGACAGTTGGCTAACTCGCAAAAGGCAGCGAGTGGGGATAAAAGGGTCTTTTCCAGAATGGCAGCCGGTGACGAGAGGAATTCTGTACAAGTTAGTTTTGTGACCATAACTATTCACGTTATATTATTAACATTCTGCATGAAGGAACTAAGGGCATTGTTGTTAAGTTTGCAGATCACACAAAGATAGGTGGAGCGATGGGTGGTGTTGAGGAAGCAAGGAGGCTGCAGAAGGACTTGAGGCAGGCTAGGAGAATGGGCAAAGAAGTAGCAGATGAAATACAATGGGGGAAAGTGTGAGGTTATGCACTTTTATAGGAGGGATAAAGGTGTAGACTATTTTCAAAATGGGGAAAGGCTTCAGAAATCTGAAGCACAAAGGGACTTGGGAGTCCAAGTTGAGGATTCTCAAGGTTAACATGCAGATTCAGTTAGTGATTAAGAAGTCAAATGCAATGTTAGTATTCATTTCAAAACAGCCAGAATATAAAAGCAAAAATGTACTGCTGAGGCTGCGTGAGGGTCTCGTCAGACCACATGTGGAATATTGTGGGCAGTTTTGAGCCCTATATCTAAGGAAGGATGTACTGGTGTTGGAGGGATTCCAGAGGTGGTTTACAAAAATGATCTGGAGATGAAGGACTTGTCATACGAGAAGTGGTTGAGGTTGCTGTGTCTGGAGTTGATAGCTTTAGAAGGATGAGGTGAGATCTGAAGGAAACTTTATGGAGAGGCCTGTATAGAGTGGATGTGGAGAAGATGTTTCCAGTAGTAGGAGAGACAAGGACCCAAAGGGATGACCCTTTAGAACTAAGACGAAGAGGAGTTTCTTCAGCCAGAGGGTGGTTAATCTTTGAAACCCATTGCCTCAGACAGCTATGAAAGCCAAGTAATTGAGTTGATTTAAGACAGAGAGGTTCTTGATTAGTAAGGGGATCAAGGGTACCAGGGAGAAGGCAGGAGAATGCATTTAAGAAATATATATCAGCAATGATTGAATGGTGGACCAGACTTGATGGGCTGAATGGCCTAATTCTGCTACTGTATTTTATGGTCTTATGATATAATTCCAATTAGAGCTAGCTCACCAATATTCCTTCAACAGTGTCTTACAAATACATGATACCTGGAAGTACAAGGGCAGCAGATACTTGAGAGCATTCACTACAGCGCTAATAGCATGAGACACTAATAGCATTCCAAAACTACTGAATGAAGGGGCAAAGGTGGAAGAAGAAATAAATACAATTCCTATCACTAGAGAAAAAGTACCATGGAAACTAATGGGGCTAAAGACTCACCTGATGGATTGCATCCTGGGATATTAAAAAAAGTAGTTGCAGACATAGCACTGGTAGTAATCCTGTGGTCCTTTATTTCTGGAAAAGTCCCAGAGAATCCTAAAACAACCATCTAATACTTTTTATTTAGAAGCGGAAGGAGATAAAAAGTTGGTAACTATAGTCCAGTTAGCTTAACATCTATTGTTGGGAAAATGTTAATCTATTATAAAAGGTGTAATAACTGAGCATTTAGAAACCATTATATGATCAGGCAGATTCAACAATGCTTCATGAAGGGGAAATCTGACAAAGCCAATGGCGTTGGAGGCAGTGTATATCAAAATGGATAGAAGATTGGCTAATTAACGATACTGACAGTTTACAATGTTTCGAAGTAATATTTCATCTGCAAACTTTGAAACTGTGCCCTGCTTACTATGATCTAGATCATCAATATATGTCCAGAAAAGCAAGGTTCTGAATCCGGATTTCTGGGAACTCCACTACAAACCCTCCTCCAGCCTGAAGAGTATCCATTGACACTACTGGTTCCTATCATTCAGCCAATTTTGTATTCATGTTGCTTCTGTCCCTTGCATTCTGAGAGTTATAACTTGGCTCAAATCTATTTGTGATACTGTGTCAAATGCCTTTTAGAAATCCATGTATGCCATTTCAACAGCATTAACTTAATTAAGCCTTCCTGGTACCTCTTCAAAAACTTCAGGTTAATTAGTCTCCATTTCACCTTTTAAAAATCCAGAATATCACCTATCAGAGTCTGTTCCACCATATAATGTCATCATGGCTGATATGATGATCCTCTTCCTAATCAACACACATTTTTACATGTGACTGTTGATTCTTTCCCGAGTATTTGTTTCTTTCCCGAGTATTTGTTTCTTGAAGTTTCCCCACTGCTGAAGTGAAACTGATTGGTCTGGTCCATAATTGCTAGGTTTATCTGTACAGCCTCATTTCAAATGATGTAATATTTGTGATTCTACAGTTCTTTCACCACATTTGAGGAAAAATACTGAAAACTCGATTGGTTTGTGTGAGGTTTGTTTGTTTGTTTATTTATTTATATACATCCTTAGAAGGGACAGTATTATTGAGGTTTGGAAAGATGTAGACAGTATTCATTTAAAAAATAATGTGATATAGTATCTTTTAAAACTTGAATCCTAAAGAAAACTTAGTTTCTTTTACTATCACAGCCCCTCAAGATGCTTGAAAGCAGAGGAAGAATCCTGGGTTACAATATAACACTTCAGAAAAGCACAGAGAAAAACACAACTATTTGGGAACAGACATCAAACACCTGGCATATTATTGAAATCCCCAGGACAGACTGTACCATTACAGTGTCTGCTTATAACTCCAAGGGAAACTCTCCACCTACTCAACTCCATGTGTCGTATCTCACAGGTAAAAGAAAGTCCATGGTTTTTACAATTTTGCAAAGAAGCCTAGTGTATTAATTTTGATGGAGGATGAGAGGCAAGTGTTGGGGAAGAAAAACAATTAACTCTTTGTTCAATTGCTTCCTAGTCATGCTTTTTTGAAGTACGGATAATTGGATGGTCTACTCTTGCTCCTATTTCCTATGATCAATCAGCATTGTTGCCTATCTGAATTCCCCTCCCAAACTGTTGATGCTGAGGTTATTAACAATAATATTAACCATGCACTAGCTGAAATAATTTGCCACAGACCAGATACAGGAGTCAGTCTCTTATGTGCATTGTATGACAGAATAAATGGTGTCTAAAGAACCTCACTCATTTGTAATCTACGGATATATTTACGGACAGATCTTCCTGCACCAAGAAATATCTCAGCTACGTACGCTGGAAACAACCAGTTCTTAGTCAAGTGGATGGAGCCTGAAAAACATCTCCGAAGAACTCCAATCCAAGGATATGTAGTGGAATGGGCAGATATCAATAGCAAAGATCATCTGAAAATAAATTGGAAGAAGCTTTCTCCTCAAAATCATTCAGCAACATTAACAGGTAAAGTTTTTTTTTGTTGAAGCAATTGACTCCTTCACCCAATCTGTCCCAGTCAAGCACCATCATGATTTTGATGACCAAATTCTATACAATGAGAGTGATAGATCAAACATCTGTTCATTTTCAGGTCTTAAGATTCTCTAAATTGTAATAGACTATACTGGGTGTGGTATGTGACAAAACTTCAAAGTTGATTGTCTGACCTCTTATTTCTAATGAGTTGCTCCCCACATTTTATTGTGTGACAAATTTATGTTTTTGCTGTTCCAGCAAAGAGATTCTTTTTTTATTGCCAACTTGTAGTACCAAGGATTTGCGGGGGAAGGTTAGAAAAGTAATTTTATTAAATGGACCTGACTTTTCATCTTGTCAGAGTTTGGAAAGAAAAGCACTTAACACAGGATAGTCAGCTCAATTCATTCAAAAACAAAGTATCTCAGGTGCTGGCAATATGAAACAAAAACAGGAAAGGTTGGCAACACTTAGCAAGAGGTGAAATATTGTCTGGAAAACAATGGATGAATTGAACTGCAGCTAAATTGAACTGTTGTCTGACCAAGGCTGCACAGCAGTAGGCCAGCATGGGTGCATCACCACAGCCAGTAATGGAGGTAATGAGTGGGTTAACTTCATTTTAATGGCAAGATTGCCTTGTTTCAGTTGGGCAGAAAACCAGATGACTCTGCTCTTACATTCCTGGAGTGGACAGTAAATATGTATATCACAAAACAAATCAAGTGTACATGGCAATTATAGGATGTAGGTGTCACTGGCAAGGCCAACATTTATTGCCCACTCTTAATTGCCCAGAGGGCAGTTCAGAGTCAACTTCATTGCTGTGGGTCTGGGCTCACATGTAGGCCAGACCAGGTAAGGATGGCAGTTCCCTTCCCCAAAGATCATTTGTGAACCAGATGGGTTTTTCCCAACAATTGACAATGGTTTCATGGTCATCATTAGACTCTTAGTTCCAGATGTTTATTGAATTCAAATTCCAATGTCTACCCCTAAGAGTCGCTGGTCAGGTCCTAAAGGACATAGCTGCTAGACTGGGTCTGTGGTGGGTGGCGAGGAAAAAACATACTTGACCTCATCCTTACCAATCTGCCAGCTGCAGATGAATCTGTCCATGACCATGTTGGTAAGAGTGGCCACCACACAATCCTTGTGGAGACAAATTCCCACTTTCACATTGAGAATACTCTCCATAGTGTTGTGTGATATCATAACTGTACTAAATGCGACAGACTTCGAACAGATCTTGCAAATTATGACTGGACATCCATGAGGCACTGTGGGCCATCGAAAACAGCAGAATTGTACTCCAGCATAATCTGTAACCTCATGGCCTGGCATAAGCCCCACTCAATCATTACTATCAAGCCAGGGGATCAACCCTGTTTCAATGTGAGTGCAGGAAGCATGCCAAGAGCAGCACCAGGCAAACCTTAACAAGGTATCAACCTGTTGAGGCTACTAAACAGGACTACCAAACAGCATAAGCAGCAAGTGATTAACAGAGCTAAGTGATCCCACAACCAACAGATCAGATCTAAGCTCTGCAGTCCTGCCACATCCCATCATGAATGGTGGTGGACAATTTTAACTCACTGGAATGGTAGGCTGCATAAATATCCCCATCCTCAATGATGAAAGACCCCAGCACATTGATGCAAAAGATAAGGCTGAAAGTATTGCAACAATTTTTAGCAGAGGTGCCAAGTGGATGATGCATCTCGGCCTCCTCCAGTGGCGCCCAATGTCAGAGATGCCAGTCTTCAGCCAATTTGATTCACTCCACATGATATGAAGAAACAGTTGGAGGCACTGGATACTGCAGAGGCTAAGGGCTCTGACAACACTCCGGCAACAGTATCAAAAACTTGTGCTCTAAAACTTACAGCTCCTCTAGCCAAACTATTCCAATACAGTTACAACACTAGTATCTACCTAATAATGTCAGACGTTGCCCAGATAGGTCCAAACAAACTAGTCTCTACCCCTTGGCAATCAGTGAATCACCCACTATCAACATTGTAGGGTTACCATTGAGCACAAACTCAACTGAACTCATTATAAATGCAGTGGCTACAAAGCAGTTCAGAGGCTAGGAATACTATAGCAAGTAACTCACTCCTGACTCCCCAAAGCCTTCCCATCATCTACAAAGCACAAGTCAGGAATATTGTAAAGTACTTCCTACTTGCCAGGATGGGTTCAGCTACAATTCCACAAGAAGCTTGACACCATCCAGCACAAAACGGCCCACTTGATTGGCACCATGTCCACAAACATCCAATACCTCCTGTACCAAATCTCAGCAGCAGTGTGTACTATTTACAAAATGCACTGCAGAAATTCACCTAAGATCTTCAGATGGCCTCTTATAAACCCATGACTGCTTCCATCTAGAAGGACAAGAGCAGCAGATACGTGGGAACACCACCACCTGCAGGTTCCCCACCAAGCCACTTGTCATTTCTGACTTGGAAATATATCACTGTTTCTACACTCTGTCGCTGGGTCAAAAACCTGGAATTCCCTGCCTAAAGGCATTGTGGGTCCACCTACAGCATGTGGACTATAGTGTTCAAGGAGGCAGCTCACCACCTTCTCAAAGGCAACTAGGAGTGGGCATTAAATGCTGGCCAGCTAGCAACGTCTACAATTTGCAAGTGAATAAAAAACAATGGACCTGATGTATAACTTGGCTCGACAATGGAAATGGGGTTCTTCTGGGATTCAACATTCCTAGGAATGCTAAGCAGAGTGAGGTTGTAGCAGTGACCGTTGTTAAAAATATACATTTCTTTTAAAAAAAAACAGTTCAAGACAATCCTGCCCATTGATTCTGCCTGAGGCAACTTCTTTGCTGCTTCACTATCATCCCCATTCAGTATCTGCACTCACCCTACCCATTAAATAGTTCTTTGAGCAGGGATCAAAAGGAATAGTGGGAAAGCAGGGCCAGGGTATGGAGTTGGATGATGAACCATGAACATATTTAATGCAGGGTTGAGGGGCCAAATTTTCTATGTTTCTCTTCAATTGAGCAACCAGCTGGGAGTGTTTCTAAACTTCAGGATTGAAAGCCTGAAGAATTATTTTACAATACACTGAGGGAGATCAATTATGGCCCAGGTTTTACAGATCAGAGTCCTCATTTGTGACCCTGATCAGACAAACAAATACATGTTTGCCACATTGATTTGTTCTGTTTTTCACTTAGTGATCTTCTGATAGAGAATCTTCATAATTGTCTCAGTACAAGAACCTTAATGAGTTGGTATAAGCAAGTCACTTTTGACTTGAACACAGTAAAAGTGCAGGAGAAGAGGAAGCACATGTATCTGGGGCTTGGGAGTGATGATTGAGCAAAGTTAAGAGAAACAATGACAGTAATAACATTGATAAAACACAGAGACATCATTCTTTTTCTGTTGTAGCCTTTTAATGAGCAGCGAGGAAAGCTAACTTAAAGTAGAAGTTCACACAAAATAAACGTGAAGTTATCAATTGAAAATTCCAGAACAAAGTTTGTTTTTGTAAGGCAATTGTATGAAGGGTTATAGAACTAAGAGGGGAAGGTAGAGATTAGACCGTCCATGTGATCTGATTAGATGGCAGAACACATTCAGGGGCCTGAGCAATTGCCTGGTGTCCCTATAACAACCCACCCAGCAGAATTAAGCAATAGCATGATTTTTGTTTTTTTTTTGCAGCTGTCACACATTCTCTCCTTTTTTTTCCCACCTCCCCCCCCACCCCCAACCATGCTATACTTTAGACAGAAAGGAATACTTCTGAGTATAACTATTTATCCTACTGTTTTACAGAAAATATAAAGCCCAAGGCTTGCTTTCAGATTTCTGTTTATGCCATTTATGAAAGTGGGGCCGGAAGACCACTGTCAACTCAAAGCTATTCAGCACAAGAAGGTAATTAAAGTAGTGATTAAATTAAAACTTTGAAAAATTACCAGCATGTGCTAGTGGTATTGAGAGAATACTTTAATCAAGATTTGTAACAAATTTTTATTCAGCAGCACCAATGTCAGGACCTATAGCCTTCACCAAGCACAACACTGCTGTAATATTCTGGAAGAATGTTCCACATGACCAGAAAGAAGGTTGCATAGAGAGCTACACCATCTACTTGCGGGATGAAAATTCTGAGCTACCCCCTTCAATTTATCGTATGTACACCAGAGAAATTTTTAAGAACATCAGGATTGACCTTCTGGACCCTTGTGCATGCTCTAGCATTCAATGAGAATATGGGTGAACTTCACTTAATGCTGCTTTCCTCCCCCATCCTATAGAGAAAGAAACATCTATGTGAATGGAAATCCGGATCTTAGAAATGTATAGAAACATGGATGTCAGTAACCTAAATGATTAATCAGCCCATTGGGACTGTTGATTCTTTGCTGGAATAATCTAAAACTAATTTCCGTGCCATATTCTCAATAGGCAGCTTTGAATCTTCCTTTACTTTGAATATTTGTCCAATTTGCTTCAAGAACTCCATATACAAGCATCTTCTTGTTCAAACAACCCTCTTTTTATTTTTGTAAAGAAACATCTTCAAATCCTTGTGATTATTTTTTGGGTTAGTCTGAATTCATGAATCTTTATCACTAGCTTCTCGACCAGAGGAAATGTGATTTCTCTCATCACTCCAACAACACCCTTCCCTTTGTTTTAAACTGAATTAATTTGTCTGAAGGTTCACTGGACAGCTCAGAGCATGATTCATGATTGAGTGGGAATGAGCCATGAGATCCACAAAGGTCCAATCCCAAAACAGCATTGTTACCTGCTCCAACTGGAAAAAACAATAGGGGCAGCAATTTAACTCTTAAGGCCTTAAGAAACCAGGCACAAAATTTTTTAAGGAGGCAGGGGACTGCTAGGTGCAGATGTGGCTTCCCACTTAACTGTTCTCTGACTACCATTCTTCTCCCCAACCCTTTACCTGTCCTTCAACTACTACCCTCTTCTTTTCCATGCCTCAACCCATGACTTCCTCTTACTATTCAGAGACTGGTTTCTTTGTTGCCTCTGCCACCACCTCCTCTTCTCCTCCAATATCCACTTTTTTTTTTTCCTTGCTTCATGCCACCAAATCCTCTCCTCTTCCCAATGACACTCCCCTGTCCACCCTCTGTTCCTAAGACTGCCCATTAATGTCCTCTCGCCCCTGGATCTGGAGCTCGGAGTTCCTTGGCCCTCCCGTTTCATCTCCAACCCACAATCATAAAGTCTGTCAATTATATGTTAATTTATTATAAAGGATATACAAGCAGAGCATTTAGAAATACGTAATATGATCAAGCAGATTCAGCATGGCTTCATGAAGAGGAAATCACGACTGACAAATTAATAAGAATTCTTTGAGGAGGTAAACAAGCAGGATCGACTTAAGGTGAAGCAGTACTTTATTTGCATTTTAAGGCATCTGATTGGAAACCATGCATTAATAAAAGAGCCATGGTGCTAGAGGTTAGCTAAGAAGTAAAAGACAATCCTCCGTCCATGTTCATATACTGAGTTGGTATGAGGGATATGAAGGGACTGTCAAATGAGAGGTTGAATAGACTGGTCTTTTACTTGTTGGAATACAGAAGAATGAGAGGCAACCTTATCAAGGAATAGAGGATTCTTGGGGGGGACTTGACAGAGTAGATGCAGAGAAGTTCTTTACCCTGGGCAAGAATAACATTAAGACAGTTGAGGAGGTAAAGAATCTGTGGAGTTCTTTACTATGGAAGGTTATTGAGGCTGGGTCATTAAGTATATTCCGTGCTGAAGCAGGCATTTTTGTTCGGTAATAGAGGGTTTGGGGGAAAGGCAGGAGAGTGGAGTTAAGGATAATGCGATCAGCTGTGATCTTATTAAATGTCAGAGCAGACTTGATGGGTTGAATAACTGGCTTCTGCTCCCATGTCTTACTGTCTTGAGGTGGAAGCAACTCCACAGCATGTGGGTGGGTAAACTCAACTCCAGATATGCCATGTGCAACTACCCATCACCCGCATGTTCCAGTGAGTCCAAAAGGTTTAATCTCTTCTTGCCCTGTTACCCCTCCCCTCCAAAAAATGTTTCACATTGGGTCCGGACCCAAATTGTGATGTTGAGCTGCTAACCTGGTCTCCCGATATAGAAGAAATGATTTAATGTAAGTTTGGAAGTCAATTGGAACATGAACAGGCCCGTTGGCCCACCATGTCTGCACCAATTATGGTGCCATTCTCAATTAATCTCATCTGCCTGCTTATGGTCTACATCCCTCTGCCCTCCCTATTTGTGTGTCTGTCTAAATACCTCTTAAACTTTGCTATTGAATCTGTTGCCATCACGTCTCCTGGCAACGTATTCCAGGCACCTACCACCCTCTGTTTCTAAAATTAAAACTTGGCTTGCATATTTACTTTAAGATTTACTACATACTTTCCTCTTGCATTTAACCTCCCAAAAATTCATCACCTCACATTGTCTGGATTAAATTCCATCTGCCATTTTTGCACCCAACTTCCCAATGGATCTATATCCTGCTGTACCCTTTGACAACCTTCCTCACTATCCACAACTCCATGTTGTCTGAAACTTACTAATCAGACCACATGTGTTTTCATCCAAACGTTTTGAACAAGAGATTCCCAACTCTGATCCTTGTTGAACACCCTCCGCAATTAGCCTCTACGACCAATGCAACTTCGTATCCAACTTACCAACTTGCCATAGATCCCATGTGACTTAATCTTCTGGACCAGCCTACCATGAACTTGTCAATTGCTTCACCATGGACACTACATCCACTGTCCTATCCTAATCAATTATCTTTGTCACTTCCTGAAAAAAAGTTCAGTGAATGCTTTCACTTCTCACGATGCATTTTTAAAATGAATCTCTTGGGTTTGATGCAAATTGTGACATCTGAAACATAATGGAAAATTCCAAAAATATTATATATGATATTGAAAATAAAATTAAAACAAGTAAAATAGATTTTAATTTGCCTTGGAAGTAAGCAAAATTTTAAGTTTTTTTTTTTTTCTTTTTTCTTAAAGCGGCTGGGATGGTGGTAATGGAATATTTCTCCTACAAATTGTGTCCAACGTTTGAATTAAATGCAAGCTTGTCCTAGTTGTGACCCAGAGTGATGACTCCACTTGTGTTGCCTGTCATAACTGGGAAGTTAAAGATCTCAAGTGTGAGTGTGTGCATGAATTAGGTTGAGATTTTGGTGAATCACTTCAGATAACATGTCCACAATCAGCAGAGGACAACACTTCTGTCACATCATGAGGTAGATTCCAAAAAGGCAAAACGTTTTGAATAGACTGCATTACTCAGTTGTTTAATGACTACGTTTAATATAGTGACTTCGTAAATGATTAATTATTCAATTAGTAATCATTCCTTTTATTTCAAAATGATTTGTATGATATTGTTAGAAATGTGGCCTTTGTTTAGTTTTAACGAGAAACTAAATTTTGGTGAACACATTCAATCTGTAAGCTTTATGACCAAATAGAAATTCAATTGAATTATAGCCAGTAATATTTCTCAGTCACTTGTTACACATTTTTATAATCTAAAGGTTTATGAAAGAAATCAGAGACATTGTGCTGGATTGAAGAGAACCTCAGTTAGCAGGCCTTACTGAAAGATTGAGTTTCCTCCCTGTTTTCCTTTCAGATAACAACTCATTTAAAAAGTACCCAAGTGAGTGTGGAATTTCCCTGCATGTGATATCATTAATAGAGAGTTGACCCACAAGCCACTAAATCGACCCGTGATGTCACAGGAGGGAAGGTTCTAGACAAAGTATCTACTAACCAGTAGCCTTCAACTAACTAATTGCATGTTTCACACTGGCAGCTCATCAAGTACATGAACAAGAAGTTGGGTTGAAAATAGATTTGTTTCAAAGTATGGAGAAAGTAATGACTTACAAGCATTGCACGTGTACCTTTTTGAACAGCAGAAACCATGTTGCCATTCAGTAAAATACAGTTCAGCTTTTCTGTTCTCTGTGGTGTTTGTAATAGTCAGATTAGATCACAACCTATTCTTTCAGCTGGTTACACTGCAAAACCTGTGGTGACCTAAAAGGGAGAAAAGTGAAAATAGGTTTAAACAAAATTCACTAATATTGGAATGCAAAACAAAAATGGAAATGAGGTGCCCCATGACTCTGTATCCCCCTTACATGATCGAATGATTAGTCATACAGATGAGGAAGCTCCCAGGTTCAATTAACGCTCTGTGCAGACTTTTATTCCAGATAGAAGTTGAGATATTAGAGTTCACTTCAGTGACCTCAGAAGAAAAATAAATTGTGCAGCTTTCCGATTCTACTGATCAAACTTGCTGTGCAAGAGGATCATGAGTCACCATTAACCAGAAGGGAAGGGGAGATGAATTCATGTAACAGTGAAGCCAGCAGAAGAACATAGTGGCACAGACTCATTTAAGAATCTATAATCTATTTATCATTTTTTTTATTATAGGGTCTATTGACCCAAACAGCAAGAATTACACAATCCCAAACTTGAAACCTGGAACAGGATATATTGTGTGGATGACAGCAGTAACTAGAGCTGGTGAAGGGAAAAATGGAGAACATCACAGGTTTTATTACAGCCGTGAAAGTGAGTGAGTGTAACAATGCTGAATGTTTCAAATGTGAACAAATGTGCATGTTTAGCATGTGGTTGTGTAGTACAAACGTTCCCCCACTGCACTACCTCCTCCCCCGTCCCCATTTTACTCCTAGATTACACTATTTGATCACTAACTACATCAAACAAAAGTATGAATAAGATACCTATCTTCCCATCTCTGGATCATCAGAGCCCAGATGTACAAAGGGGGTACAATTACAAAATTTAAAAGACATCTGGATGGGTTTATGAATAAGAAAGGCCAAGATCAGATTGGGATAGCAGGTTAGTGTGGACAAGTTGGCCCAAGGGGTCTGCTTCCATGCTGTATGACTCGGTGTACTCTGAGAGATACACATTGGGACCTCTGTCCTGACATTGACTGTGTGCCAAACTGTGGATGGGCAATTATCCAGCATCTGCAACCCTCCATATTTGAGAGAAAGGCAACCAGTTAGATGAAATGTCAGAGCGTGGACATATTCCAGCATTGATCAAATGTCTTTAGTGGTTTAGGAGGAGTGGAGAAAATTGTTTGAGCAGAAGAGGAACCAGTTCTCAATGTTGAAGGGCAAAGGAGTTCAACATTTTGAATTAGAAACTTAAGTTGGAATGAGGTTGGTTAGCTCGCTGAAGTTGTTTATTTTGATCAGTGAATTTAAACTGAAATGTTCTTTTTCCTTCAGGTATTCCTCCACACTCTGATGGCAAGTCTATCATAATGGTGGTCGTTGCGTTAACATTCTTATTTGCTGTCGTAGCTTCTGGATTTTGTTTATGGCAATCAGTGAGGAACAGGTAATAAATCTGAAAATGTGCTTTACTCATTGTGAAATAATTCACCTTTATTTTTTAAATGCAATTCTCCCTACAGTTTATCAGTTGTGAATTTCTGGCTTCATAAAAGGACCAACAGCAGATTAAATAAAGCAGTACTTGATTTTAAACACTGATTTACTATTCAGCATCTTGCAGTCTTTCAAAGCAATCAAGAATTGCTTCTTTAATTTTGTTTAATTGTACTGATTAGTGAAGAAGAAACTTAATTTGATGGTATCTTCTGAATGACCTTCACTAAGATCTCAAGATGGGACAAATGAGGGGGAACAGAATTTGAAGGTTGTAAATCTTTGGAATTCCCTTCCTCAGAAGGAAGTTGATGTAGAATCTTCAAATATCTTTAAGGCAGAGATAGAAAAGTTCTTGATTTACCAAGGGAATGAACATTTGTCTTTTTATCAACAGTATGCTGGAATGTGGAATTGAGGTTAAAATCAATTCAGCTTTGATCTTATTGAATGGCAGATCAAGTTTGAAGGGCTGAGTGGCCTAGTCTTGCTTACGTACCTGAACAAGCAAAGCATTATCAAAGGAGGAAGAATGAACCTGATTTTAATATAAACACTTTCCAGGTCAGAAGTAAAGCTTGCTTGTTTTAATTCCAAATATTTACATCCCCCCTCTTTTTTTTTTTGTTTTAAAATGTTGCTAGAGGTGAATCACATTCAGGTACTCCAACCAATTTTCCAATTCCAGTTTGGCAACCTGCCAAGTTTCATAATGATTCTTAGCTACACTAAGTACCAACATGCATTGGACTCCATATTGGCTTACAGTATCTGGGCAGTAGCTACATACAATTCTTAAATTAATTGTCATTTAACCCATAACTCACTGAACCAGTGGTGCCAATGCTAAGATAACTGGCAAAGATTGCAGACGGCACAGCTGACATCTCAACCATGACACCCCTCTCTCAGCCAGGATGTGTTTGTGCATGATGTTCCTGGATCACAGAGATCATGGAGCCACTGTAGCCCATATTATTCTGACCAGAGAAAGAATCCACTGCTTGTCATTTGTGCTTCTCTGGATGCTTCTGCTGGGTGCCTGGTTGACTTTTAAAGTCACAGCTTACAGCAGTTGCTGAAGGAAAGGTAAACGGATGGTCTTCAGGCTCCATGTATTTTTTTTTTCACTACTGCAAACAATGCTTCTAGGGTGATCTGAAGGCTTCTCCTTGTTCACAGCCCTAACTATCTGAGAACTTATCACAGAGGGCCTTCGTTGTTTGTAACTGGTCACTAGCCTTAGCTCAGTCTGTTCTACTTGTACCAGCCTATGCTTCATTTGGTTATAATCCCTCAGCTTCAGTTTGTCTGCAACCAGTGCTTGGTCAAGCAGCTATGTAAATGGTGCCGTCAAGGAGTGTCCAGTTATATTGCTTTCAAATATGCAACAATACTACTGGTTTTTAACATTTCTTTTCTTTTCTCATTTTAGTCTGCAATTAGAAATACAAGAAAAAAATAATGAAATTACTATCTTTGCAAATGGCATTGCAAACTTGTGTTTCTGCATATGCAGTCACTGTTTTACCTATAGGTGGCACTGACAAATGACTCCCACAATGAAAGTTACTAGGGAATGGACAATATAATGCCTTTGCTCAAATTTAATTTACATGAATACACAAGATACTGACCTCATTTATATTACATATTACTGCAGGATATGGTCTATATTGTCGAAACTCTTAGCTCAACTATATGTAAGAAACATTCCTGATCCAGCTAATTGCACTTGGGCAAAGGAATATACTGCAATTAAGGTAATGGTTTGTTCTAAGAATATTGCATTCTATGCTAGCATTAGTTGCAATAGTAATTATAAGTTAGTTGGAGAATGCTTCTTTCATTTCCACTGTGTTTTGTCCTTTGTGCAAGATAAACAGAGACCTCCATATATCCTTTCAAACAGCTGTAAAGGATCAAAACAGTGCTATGTGGAAGGCATCATGGACTTAAGCTGTTTTTGTGATACTGATTTGAAGGATGTATTGCCATTACAATAGTGTGTGCTGATTGGCTGGCTGCCTCATTACAACCCTGATTATACTGTCAAGTTCTTCAGTTGCAGTTTCTTTAGGTCAAACATAGTTGTTAAAGGCACTCCTCTTGTAGCCCTTTGAACATTTTGGTCACTAGATGGAGCACTATGCAAAGTGTTATCCACTCCAAACCAGGAAGGAGGGGAGAAAGCAGTCATCATCCATTTGTAGCTGCTTTAATTATAGAGTTCACAGTTGTTAATGTTGCAGAATATTTTCCATAATGGGGGGGGGGGGGAAGAGGAGAGACTGCCTAAAGCAGCAGCAAAACTGATGAAGAAAGCACAAACAAAAGCTTTTTTTTAAAAAAACTAATCCCTAAGAAAGGAAAAGGGTGACATTATGTATTCCTTTGTCTAAGCCACCTCCCTACCGTCTTTTTTTCTCTGACCACCCTCCACCCCCAATCATAAGCAATTGTGTCTTCAGTTACTTTGGGCCCAAGCTCTAGCATTGTATCTCCACATCAGACCCATAGCTTATTCCTGTCGTGCTAAAATCTTTACCTTCCTTTTGACTTGGGGACTATTGTTCCCAAGGTAGCATTGCTGCAATTCCCTTATTACAGCAGCTAATTGTCAGACTAAGGTGTCACAAAGAAATAAGTTTGTAGTTTATTTGTAAGGTCTTAAATCATGCAATTGAAACTGTTACAGCCAACTAAGGGCACTGTGTAACACAGCATCTAAAAGATTACATCCTTTCAGTATGGGAGTGTCAGCCTGCATTGTGCTCAAGAGCCTTGCAAATATTGGATTTTGTTGAATGAGCAGGAACCGTTTCTAACAGCATATTAAATTCAAAATTAAATATGATACCGATAGAGATGCTTTGTGAACTCTTTGCAGGATGTCAAACTTCTCAAGCTTTAAAGACATGATATCTCTTATTATTGTATCAATTTTTATCTTCATTCCAAGTGAGAGACACCAATGTATTTCTCTCTTTTTGATAATCTATGCATTTAACTTCCAGCTTTGCTTGTTTCACTGAGTGACCCTACTTGATAACATCACAGTTTCAGGTCATTGACTTGGTGCCAGGTTCAAACTATCTGTGCATCCACACACAATAGATCTGATGGCTGCTTTTGGAAGTCAGTGGCAAATGCTATCACTTTTGACACTGATTACAAAATCCAGACAACCTATTAGCCCCCATGTTGCCAAATGAATAGGTGATTAAATATATTTGTTACAATTTTAAACATAATTAGTTACACTTCAAGATATCATATCTTCCTGTACTGTTCCTGAGTTTGCTTAATTTTCTCACTACAGGGCAAGATGGATTTATCATACTCTGACTTCCAAAGTGAATCATCATTAACTTATGAAGATCCTGAGACTCTGCAAGTAGAGGAAATATCACCAGAGCAGGAATTCTGTTTCAATATGGAAATTGTTGATCCAGATCAGTGTAGATTTCAATCACTATTACCAATTCAGTCCACAGCTACTGAATTGCAACAGCAAATGGAACTCAGCCAAGGAGATCTCTCACCAAGGAACAGTGAAGAGAACATTCTGGATTACAAGTGCCAACTCCCTTGTTTATATATTGAAGAGGTGCCCACAGTGGACATTAACCAGCATTCCGATTCAAATAAACCCACAATAAACCAAAATACCAGTTACATTCCTTCCAACTTCCTACATGTGATGGACAATGCAACAGAGAATAATGATGAAATTTTAGAAGATTCATTTTCATTCATGCCTCTTCCTTCCTTGGCTAGGATGGAAATCCCCTATGGAGGGAAACTAACATTAGATGCAGTTAAGATTGACTGCAGTTCGCTTGTGGAATAAGATTAAGAACATTTAACAAGTCACTTATGTGTAGTGTTGCTCTAAGACTATGTGAAAGTGGCAGCTGCAATTATGTCTCTTAGCTTGTATGCAAAATATCTAAAGAGACAGGATCATGGTACTAATAACATCAGGGCATGTAACCTGATGGCAAACAGGCCATTTGCAGCTGAGGGCAGTAGGTTATATTTTGTCACAGAATTGCTCAGTACTACATACGTTACAAACCAATCCTTGGCATTGTTGTATATAGACATCAGGAGCTGATTAGGTGATTAAATACATTTGTTACAAATGCATTTTCATACTATGCACCCCATGTACAGTTCATGCATTAGTTCTCTAATACTTGAGTATTAAAGAGACAAATTATCCTGAGTATTGACTTTGCTTCTTCCCTTCATAATCTGATCTACCAACAACATTGGAAGTCTGCTGGAGAACCTTAAGTTCCCAGACAGCATTCCCTCTCCGCTTCTCCCCTTCCCTTCTGCCTTCCCAGCTCCTTTCCTCTCTCCCCTCTCCTGTCCTGTCCCATTCCGGCTCATCCTGCCCCCTCCTAGCTCCTCTCATGGCCCTTCTCTGCCTCGCCTACCCTCTCCGCTCCTCTCCTCCTCTTCTCCACTGTCCCCCTACCCAGCTCCCTTCCCCTCCCCTCCCCATTTCTTCTCTCCTGTCCTGGCCCTTCTCCCCTCCTCTCCCATCTTCCTCTTCCCTGGTTCAGCTCTTCTCCTCTTCTTTCACCACCCCCTAGCCCATCCCAGCACCCCCTCCCCTCAGATGCATAAAGCAACTTTATTTACCATAAATCGATCTGGAAACCACTTTTTGAATATCTGAGGTACAGCGCTTGAGATAGTACATGTTGGCCCAGCTACACTTGCTCATTACTGTTCTGAAAAAGCCATAATTAACATCCATTACCATCCCGCAGCTTCATATTACAAATCCAATTTATCTAAAATTTAGCTGGCTTCATTGACAAGTCTAAACAAATCTAACAACTTCATAGCCCAAGTGGAAATGCATCAGATAGCAAAGAAGGTATCTAAGTATTTGCTATTTTGAGGTAACATTTAATGATTTAGAATTTGTTTTTTCAATTGTGAACAATGTAGTATCTAGATCAAGAAAAACATCCCTTAACCTCAACGGAGAAGATAATGCCAAATTCAATATTATTTTGGACCTTGTCCTCCAAGAACTCAAAATAATAAGATGCTCACCCCATCATCCATCAGGTCAAAGGCCAAAATCTGATCTTTTACACCAACCAAACAGGACAATTATATCATTTAATGCAGCCAGTAAGCCACACAAAACATTATTGCTGCTGGAAATATCAATTATTATAACAGCATTCATTGGTTATTAGCGGGTATGTCAATTTTTGTTTGTTTTCCAGTATGCTTACCCAAGTCACTATGTTGTTTGTCTGAAGGTCTTTGATTTCCAAAGAAAATGGAAGTAATTTGCTGTCCAGCAACAGCTACGGAGGCTTTTTTTAAAGCTCACTGGAACAATCTTGCAAAGGCCCAAAAAAATGCACATCTTGTGTGTACTTTTAAACTGGAATTTGTGTCTGAAGATACTCCTTTATTCCAAAGTTGAGCAGAAAAGGTATAACAGTATTTATTTTGAAATCCTCATTGGCAGCTATTCAGGGTCAATACAATACTAAAACTTCAAGAAGCCTCACCATCAAGGTGGCTCAACAAATGGAGTACAGAGCCCAGTTTCTTAAAGTTAATGTAGGCTGCAGTGCTGAGTGACCAGTCTCTTCTCAGCAGGTGGTTAGTAAAAAGGCAGGAGGTATTACCAGAAGATATTAAATAAGATGTGGATACATTGGTCTTCTATTAAACAAAACAATGCTACTTGACAAATGTCCAGAGACACTATCATCTGATCCTCTCCGACGCCGATACTGCATTGCCCAGTAGGGCTTGTAATATGAAAAGTGAGTTGCAGAGGGTGGGAAATTGAGAAGTTAATATTTTTTATTCATTCACTGAGATATGGCAGTCCATTGACAAAGCTCAATATCAAAAATGTGCATCCCTAATTGCCGCTGAGATGGTGGTGATGAGCCATCTTCATGAACACAACCAATTGGCTTTCTAAACCACTTCAGAACCAACTATGTTGCTTGAGGGCTGGACTCAAGTTTAAATCAGACCATGTAAACCAGATGGGGTTCACAACAACCCAGTAATTTCACGGTCACCACTACAGAATCTATTTTTCTGTTCTGTATTAAATAACTGAATTCAAATTTTCCAGCTGCCATGTGGACATCTGCACTCATATCAAGATCATTAGACCAGGCCTTCAGAATGCTAGCTCAGAACCACAGCCACTGTGCTATCATTCGCATAATATTTGCAAACCACACAAAAAAAATTAACTGGCAGAAAACAATGTCCCTTTCAGTCAAGCCTGCTCCTTTAACCAAAGCATTCAAAAAGATCTTTCAGTAAATGCTCAGATTCTACAACTGGCCAAGAGTTGGGAGGCAGCATAATTCTACTCCCTGCAGTGTCAAACCATAAAGGATAACTTCTCCCCCAAAAAATCTCTTGGGACAGGTAGTATCTTTTCCATTCTTAAACAGAAGCAGCTCCCGAAACTTAATGTGACAGGCACACTACAGATCAGCAACATTTTAAATTACATGGGGACAGAGTTCATCTTATGAACACAAGATGATCATCTATGAAGAAATAAACCAACTTCCTGGAATTCATTTGATACACACACCCTTCACACCTATTTTTCAAGTTAAGAAATGCATATTTTCAAGCAGTATTACAAAAAACTATCAATCCATGAACAATGAATAATTTCTGAAAATTTATTATGAAAACAGCTTTTTTCCCTCTGCTACCATTTACTTTGTTTGTGGATATAAAACCAGCTACCAACATTTGTTGCTTCTGTGTAGCAAGAGAAGTCCATTTCAACAATTCCAGTGGACAGTTCGTAGGTATGAACAGCATGGATGACAGTTCTTTTTTTCCTTTTTTTTCCGTTAATATAGTTGAGACAGGTTCCTTAAGCATGCAAGCCTCATTGAGGGGCCCCCCTCCCCGAGGACTTCAGGCCAGGCTGACAACATCCACTTAGGCCAGGGCTGGAAAAGCTTCTGGATCATCAACATTTGGAACGGTGATGCTTGACTGCAAAATGAACAGAAAATTTGGTCAGAAATCTCAATGACCAATGAGAAACAAAACTAGAACTATAAAACGATATCTGCAACAACTCAGAGCCTGTAATAACTAGTTTTAATTAAAATTACAAAATGAAATAAAATTTGCTTGCACACTAATATTTGGAGCACACTACTTTGATGAAAATGTTAAATCAACTTCCATTTAGCATCCTATAGCTGAATGCCTCTATGCCCAGCTTGAAAGTCAAATCACAGATACTGACTGACATCTTTAAGAGAACAGATTATTCTCTTGCAAGGAGTGAGTAATATAAAGTGCGTACTTACATTTTAATTTTTTTAAAAAAAATCTGTTCAACTCTACAAAATGATTGATTAAAGCTGAAATTTTAGTCATTTTGATTGAAATTAAAAGGCAGACGAACTATTTGGGTCCATCAATTAATACCACAAAGACATTATATGGTCACTGTCACATTGTTATTTGGAAAAGTTTGCTGAGTGCAAATTGGTTATCAAGTTTTCTACACTACAAGTGACTACACTTCAAAAGCAAACGTTGACTAAGGCAGTCAGAGACCCTTCAGTCCAACCAGTCCTTGCTGACCATAATCCCAACAAAACTAATCCCACCTGCCTGCATTTGGCCCATATCCCTCAACATTTCTTATTCATGTACTTATTTAAATGCCTTTTAAAACTTGTAACCATACCCACACCTACTCCACCCTCTGGAAGTTCGTTCCAAACATGACCAAGTGTGTAAAAAAGATTGCCCCTCATGTCTTTTTTAAATCTTTCTCCTCTCACCTTAAAAATATGTCCCCTAGACCTGAGATTCTCCACCCTAGGGAAAAGACACCTGCCATTCACCTTACCTACACCTCATGATTTTGAAAACTTCTATAGAGGTCACCTCTCAACTTCTATGCTCCAGTAAAAGACATCCCAGTCTACACAGCCTCTCCCCATAACTTAAACCCTCCGTTCCCGACAACATCCTAGTAATTCGCTTCTGAACTCTCTCCAGCTTAATTATATCCTTCCTGTAACACGACAGCCACAGCACTGCAGAAGAGACCTCACCAATGCCCTCTACAAAACTTTACATCCCAAGTCCTATACTCGGAGGTCTAAGCAATGAAGGCAAGCGTGCTAAACACCTTAACCATCCTATTTATATCTGATGCAAACTTCAAAGAATTATGTACCTGAAAGCTAGATCTTTCTGTTCTGCAACACTAACCAAGGCCCTACTTTTAATTGTAAAAGTCTTGCCTTTGTTTGTTTTACCAAAATGCAATACCGCACACTTATCTGAATTAAGCTTCATCTGAACTTCAGTCCATTATTGCAAATGATCGAGATCTCTTTGTGATCTTAAATAACCTTCTTTACTGTCCACTCTATCACCAATCTTGGTGTCATCCACAAACTTCTTACCATGCTTTCTATATTCTCATTTAAATAATTTATATAAATGACAAAAGTAGACTCAGCACCAATCCCTGTGGAACATTGCTGATCACAGGCCTCCAATTTGGAAAAAAAAATCCTCCACCATCATTGGATTCATTAACAGCAACAGACAATGTGATTAACTAATTTGCCTACCATGCAGAATACTGAACTTCAAGCAAACAATGTCCACCAATCTGCCCTCAATCTTCTTGGTTACGTGTTCAAAAAAACTTAATCAAGTTTGAGGCACTATTTCCCTCACACAAAACCACGCTGGTTATCCCAAAGCATTCCTTGCCTCTCCAGATGTATATAAACACAATCTTTCTGAATCACTTTCAACAACTTATCCACCACCAACTCAAACATCTATAGTTCCCAAGCTTTTCCTTACATCCCTTCCTAAATAAAGGCACAACATGAACCATTCTCCAGTCATCTGCACCTCACCCATAGTTACAGATGATAGTGATACTTATGCAAGGAGCCCTGCAATTTTCTCCCTTACTTCTCACAATGTTCTGGAATACACTAGATCAGGCCCTAGAGATTTATCCACCTTTATATTTTCTAAGGCCTTCAGCACTTCCTCTTCTGTAATGTCAACTGTTTTCAAAACATCAATATTTATTTAACAAGTTCCGTAGCCTCCATTTTTCTCCACTGCAAAAAGTGACATGAAATATTCATTTAATATCTCTCCCATCTCCTGAGATTCAACTCAAAGACAACCTCTTTGATCTTTAAGCACCTCTCTTTATCTATAGAATTTATTTGGATTATCCTTAACATTATTTGCCAAGGTGCTCTCACATCCTCTTTGCCTTCCTAATTCCCTCTGAAGAATGCCCCTACACACTTTATGCTGTTCAAGAGATTCATTTGAATCAAGTTGTTTGTCTAATAGGGATTCTTCTTTATTCTTGACAAGAAACTCAATATCTTTACTCATTCATCGTTCGCTAATCCTACCAGCTTTACCTTTTACTCAACAAGAACGTAATGACTCTGAACTTTTGAGAGCTTCCCACTTCTCAGATGTCCCATTACCTGCGAAGTCTACTCCAATCAATTTTTCAAAATTCTTGTCTCAGACTATTAAAATTTGCCTTACTCCAATTAAAAACTTTAATTTTTATAGAAGGCTTATCCGTTTTCATAACAAATTTAAAACAAACAGAATTACGATTAGACCTAAAGCAATCCCCTACTGTCACTTCAGTCACTTGCCATCTTATTACCCAAAAGAAGGTCAAGTTTTGTTCCTGCTCACCATCCACACCTTTAACACAACAGTAGTCCCAATTAAATATTTGGAGAATTAAAATCACCTACTATTACAACCTTATTATTCTTACATATATCTTGAGATCTCTCTAGATATTTGTTCCTCCATTTCCCTCTTATTATTGGGACATCTATAGCACAATCCCATCAAGGTGATCATTCTGTTTTTATTTCTAATTTCAACCCATACATTTTCACTGGACAAATTTTCAGAAATATCTTCTCTAGTTGTTCAGTAGCTGTGAAAAGGACCACACAAATGCAAGTTTTTTTTAAAAAATTAAAGCCATTAAGTTAGCCAGTGCAGTTCCTGAAAAAGACAAAATTTCTTGCAAGTTTCCAAAATGGAAACAAAAACATTTGTTGTGAAAATGTCACTTCATGCATTGATGCATGAAAAGATACACTATGCATCAACCTGCAATGAGAAAGCATTTAAAGGCTGTTTGCGCATTTCAAGTAACAACCAAAGATACATATTAAGAGCAGCATAAACGTCTCAAAATCAAGAACACCCAGTGCTCACTCACTCACTAAACTAAACTCTCATGCTCAAATTTGACCCCACATTCATGTAATCAAAGAATGTCAGTGTTCACAAATGAAAACATTTTCATTATCAGCAACTAACAATTCATTGTATCTGGCCGTCATTAAGGCTCCAAAAGGGTTTTCAGCCCAATAAGAGTACTCCAAGTTGTACCAATGTGACAAGCCATTTAATACACTGGACATTGATGTATTTTAAAGAAAACCTGTATTAAAATTTGAGTGATAAATTAAGCCATTAAGAAGACTGATGTTCATTTCAATAGAAGACTGACAACATTTGAAGAGTTTAGACAGCACGATGGCACAGTGATTAGCACCAGTGCCAGGGACCCAGGTGTGCACTTTCTCCTCGTATCTGCATGGGTTTCCTCCTGGTCCTCTGGTTTCCTTTCAGAGCCCAAACATACCCAGGTTAGGTGGATTGGTTATGCTAAACTGCCCCATTGTGTCCAGGGATGTGTAGGCTAGGGCGATTAGCTATGGTTAGTCTAAGATTATGTGGAAAGGATGGAGGGGTGTGGGTCTGGGTGGATGCTGTTTGGAGGATTGGTGCTGACAAATGGGCCAAATGGCCTCTACCTGCACTGTACGGATTCTATGATTTAACTAAAGCATAATTTCTAGGACCCGGATTAAGTCAGCCTAGACTTCAACAGCTAATCTAACAGGGTTCCACGCATCCTCTAACAAGGCTAACAATCTTTTTAGCTCCTGAACATCAAAGTCTACAGACTGCAGATTCTGAATACTTGGCATTGCTTATCTACACCCATGAGGAATCAGAATTGAACTTGCCAGTTGAAATAGTTGTCAGCATAAGTTTGCACTCCACAATAAGGACTGAATGAAGCTTGTTTACTACAGCTGGAATGACAGTGCTTACCCACTTAACTTGAAGTGCAGCAACCAGAAAGTTGTCAATACCCATACTTTTTGGCATAGCACAACAATATCAAAAGATAGACTTTTACCAAACCAAATTACAGTGTTCAACAATTGATCAATACAATTATTTAATTCAAATCTCAAACAAGATAACCTGATTAAACCTTGTATTTCTTTCAGAGAAATGTATCACTGTAACAGCAGAACAAGACGGGAAATATGCTAACAGCTGCAGCCATCTGATACGTAGGGCCACACAGCATGCATGTACCAGTAATCAAACCAGCTTAGGACTAGTTTCCACATTGATACAGCTACAAGTTATTTTTAGCTGCAGAACCATCACTAGAAAATAAATGAGATGCAATTCTGATTTAAGCCCGAGACAAAGTACACTTTACGCTTTGCAAGATCATTCAATTATGAAGAAATTGCTAGCTGATAAGCTCATTTTTAAAGAAGATTCACTACTATTATACCTGTTTAACTGAACATCTCAACTTGCACGTGCATGGCAAAACGTAACCATCACCCTACCAACTGAAAAGCACAACTGCTCTCTCTAAATGAAAAAATATTGGACTCATAAATGCATTCATTCTTCAACATTACATTTCAAGTCAACTAAACCAAACTTAAAACAGTAACCAAGTACAACGGCTCAATCTTTAAGAGGAAAAAGGTCAGGATGCAGTTGTTTGACCTGTCACCTCTAAGCCAGCTCGCTGACGCAACAACCTAGTCACTTCCAGCAACCCTCAACCCAAGCATTACAAATTCTCTCTTCGAGCACTCTCACATTTTCTTTCTGAAAGCCAC